GAGAGAGAGAGAGAGAGAGAGAGAGAGAGAGAGAGAGAGAGAGAGAGAGAGAGATTTTTAATCTTGTAGCGATAACAAATTATGATAAACATGGACATCAAAATGGAGCTTTGCTTGCAGATTTCTCGCCGTGGATAAACTTCCTTTGAATGTTTTCTTGTAGTAACTGAGTTTTCTCATAAGTTACTGTATTCTTTTAGGTTTTGCTAACTATCATCGTCATGTGGATAATTTGCGCTATACTAACGGTGACCGACACGCTTCCAATCGGCCATCCCGCCAGGTCTGACAGCAAATTAAAAATTATAAGCGATTCGCCTTGGTTTCGCGTACCATATCCCGGACAATGGGGTTTACCCACTGTTACATTGTCCGGCGTGCTCGGTATGTTGGCGGGTGTATTAGCGTGCACGGTCGAATCTGTCAGTTATTATCCCACCACCGCAAAGATGTGTGGTAGGTACACAAATTTGAGCGTGAGTTTTTTTTTAAACATTGCGAGATATATATTTTTAATTTTTTATATATATTATCTTTTAATAACGCGAGAGAGTTGCCTATCTCGTAGTATGAGATCCTTGACTGCAGTTTTTTTATCCCACGTACAAATCTCATCTACTTAACTGGCACTTATGTTTAAGTAAGATTACTTTCCGATATGATTTATGGCTGTAGCACGTCGCATGATTTCTTATCAAATTCATGCGTGAATCAAGTCAATTCATGCGCAAATTAGGTTATTCTATGTTCTCGTATACACATGTTTCTATAATTAGGTTCTGTGTACATAATTATACAGAAAATGTTCATGAGATTAATCGAGTGAATTTAGGAGCACCGCCGCCGCCGGTTCACGCGATCAATCGAGGCATCGGGGTGGAAGGTCTCGGCACGATGTTGGCCGGACTTTGGGGTAGCGGTAACGGCACAAATACATTTGGAGAGAACGTCGGCACGATAGGTAAAGGGTGCTGATTTAACTGAGAGTTACGAACGCTACGTAATGTTATGTTACTTAATGGACTTATCTCATAAAATTACTTACATGAAATGATCAGGGGTTACAAAAGTCGGCAGCCGCAGGGTCATACAGTGGGCTTGCTTCCTAATGATCCTGCAAGGTGTGATTAGCAAGTTGGGAGCGGTGTTTATCATAATCCCCGAGCCAATAGTTGGCGGTATATTTTGCGTGATGTTTGGGATGATTTGTGCCTTCGGTGAGTTCCCGCTTAGACTAGTTGTTACTTGTCATTTAGACCAGAGAAAGAAAGAATAATGAATTTTTGAAGAAGTGAAAAGAATATAGAAATGAAAAATGAATAAGAAGAAATTTTCTATCCTACTTTGTAACATTGTTCTGTATATTTTTATTTTATATCATTATTTGCAGGATTGTCAGCGTTACAATATATAAATCTCAATTCGGCAAGAAACTTATACATTTTGGGTTTCTCCATGTTTTTCCCTATGGTGACTATATTTCTGAGGATAAAATTATACACAAATTGTGTTGAGCGCGCGCTAGTAATTTATCGTTTGTTCCCAGGTATTGTCCAAGTGGATGATCAAGCATTCGGACGTGATTCAAACGGGAAACGAAGTGGTGGACAGTGTTATCACCGTATTACTTAGCACCACCATTTTAGTCGGTGGTATATTGGGTTGTTTCTTGGATAATATTGTGCCAGGTATCGTTTACGATTAAACGCGAATCGCAATGATAATGTTCATTAGTACTTATTAATTTTTTAATCAAGGTACCGCAGAAGAGCGTGGATTAGTGGCTTGGTCGAAGGAAATGGAGCTCACCGATCGCACGACTAACGACAAAACCGATAGTAATATGCAATATGTTTGGAATACTTTTGACTTCCCGTTTGGAATGAGTTTGCTGAGAAGGTATTATCGTGTATACATAATACTAATTTCGCGTTTATTCATATGTTTATAAAAATAACGGTAAATATTTTCCAGATGGAAGTGGACATCTTACATGCCGTTTTTACCCACATATAAGAAGAAGGCGTAAATAGACGAAGTCATAAGTTATATCAATTGTTTAAAGATAGATAAACCGATTATATTACGATATAACAGCCTTTCTATCGTGAAAGAAGACAAACGATATACTAATATAAAATATCATGTGTATATATATATATATATATATATATACATGATATATAATATATAAAAAATATAAACATTAAATATAACATATTTAAATATAATATATATAATATAACATATAAAAAAATTATTGTACAAAAGATTATATGTAATCCGCAATCATAATTTTAATAATTACATCATATTTGCTTTGTGTTGTAATGTTGTGAATTTTATATATATGTATCAGTACAAAGATTATATGCATGAGATAGTGAAATGTACATTGTAATGTAAATTAATATTATTAGACTTCTATCGACAAATACACATTAGCTACAAATTTAATTCTTTTTGTTTTATAAATCAGTTTTTTAAGTACAATTTTTATATGCACCTCATGCATTATTTGCAATATTAGTAGAGTTCAACGATTCCACCCTAGATACGGCAAATGAAGAAAGAGGAAAGAAGAAAGCGCCTCTATTCGCACCTGTGAAACTGGCACGACGTTTTACAAATTTAAAAAAAACAACAGTTCTATTGGCACTTTTCATAGTTCTAGATAAAAAAGACATTTGCAGAAAAAGTGTCGTGCTAACTACGAGGATTAAAAAATTATTTAAAAATAGATAGCGCCGCGCCGGAATTCTTCTTAAATTTGATTGTAGGGACTAGAATTCTATTAGAACTAACGAGAATTGTCGATAAAACTGCGAAAAATGGTCAGCACGATACTTTTTTCGAAAGTGTTGCGCGTGCTACTTCGAAGATTAAAAAATTATTTAAAAATAGGTAGCTGCCGCGGAACTCTTCTTAAATTTGATCGTAGGGATTAGAACTCTACTAGAACTAATGAGAACTGTCAATAGAACGGCCAGATATGGTCTGCATGATATTTTCTCTCGAAACTATCGTGCTGAGTGTAGTATTCAAAGTTTATGAAAAAGGCGTAATTGTTGAAATTTTTTTTCTTAATTGATAGAATTCGATCATAACTGACAGGAATTCTTGTTAAAAGTAGTGGTATTTATTTATTTCTTGTATTTTAAAGGGGAAGTGTCGTGCTAGGTTCGCGAAGTTAACACGACAATTTTTTTGCTGTTTTTCGATATTAAAAATGCAGAATTCTTTTTGTTTTCTATGTAGAACTGTAGAATTATGAAAAGTGCTAATAGAACTGTTATTGTTTTTTTAAAAGTTGTAAAATGTGCCAGCTTCACAGACACGTTTTATTGTCTATTTAAACCTGTATCACCATGCGCACGCGCTTGAGTTTTCTAGACGAAACAATTCAGGCAACATTTAGCTTGCATTCGTTCCACATTTGGGAGCGAGTCGTTGTCTGCGAATGTGTATATACTTATGTTGGTAGCAACGTAGCGAACCATGAAAAGCGTGCTCGCGATCGATACGTGACTCACGTCAAAGCTGACCGACAAATTGAATCGAACTGTCGACGCGAACGCTTCTGTCGGGAGGGTTACTACGAAAATTTCAAGTAGAAGAAGAATGCTGCAGGATTACGAACTTTTTGCTCGTTTGTGTGAGAAACGCGGAATTTCCTCGATTCCCGAAATCTCAGACGCGATCAGAGTTAGCAGGTATTTATACTACATTATTACGTTTTCGCGACAGCATGCTTGCGCTGGTATTATTATACTATTGTTTGTGAATACTATTGTACTATTGTTTGTTGTTGAAATATAGTTCATAGATCCAGGATAGAGTAAACGAGTAGTAATTTGATGTTTTACTCTGCAGAATTTAACAAAGAAATTCCGTAATTGAAAAATGTAGATTATATTTGCGATAAGCATTTAGTACTCTCCCTCCCTACTTTACCTCAGATATTACTAATCGACAGGTGCGCGCAACTATTGTCTACTGTTTAATCATGCGGGATGCAAAATTATATTTGTCAATATTTATCTATATACACAGAGTGATATGCTATAAGAAAAAATTTCCTAATTTTTTCTAATTAATCTAAGCTGAAATATTGAAATTCGAAATTATGAAAATTCTTTATGATAACAATGTATTACGAAATTTTCGATTTCTCGAGGAAAAAGATACTCCACCGATCTACATTCGGACAGTATAGTAACTAAAAATTTGCATTAGAAATTCATGCGACTCGTGATGTTTCGCAGTATCACCGGGGAGCTACGATTGTCTTGCCTATCGATAATGATACCGGTCTGCGAGATTATAGCGCGGACGTTGGTGTCCAGCCACACGATCAAAACTATCGACCTGAGCGACTGCATGTTACTGTCGAAGGGTCTCGCCAGTATCCTCGACGCGCTTTGCCAAGGCACCACCGTGACGACTCTGCACCTGAAAGGCAACAACGTGAACGGGCCTGCTGTGGCCCAGCTGGGCAGGGTCTTCGCGTGTAATAACACGCTCAAGCGGCTGCATATCGAGTGGAACAGCATCGGTTCGGACGCGAACTCGTTCACCGCTTTTTGCGACGGTCTGGTGAAAAATCACAACATCGAGCAGCTTGATCTTAGGTAACATTTCAGATGTATCATCACACCGTTTTGGCAGGCGTGTGCATACAAAAAAGTGGCTTTGCGAGAAGTCAAACGATAGGAAACAAAGGGATAATCGATAATAATTTTGTCGCAGATACAATCAGATATCGTCGCATTGTGCCGAGCATTTGTGCAAGATAATACGCGCGAACAAGTCCTTGAAGAGCATCGACTTATCTTGGAATACCTTGGGCCTGCAAGGCGGTCGACTGCTATTGAACGCTATGCGTGAGAACAAGACTATCACCGACCTTATGCTGCGCGGAAACTGCATATCTGAGGACATCGCGCTCGCGATCGAAGAACGATTGCGGGAGAACCGTCGTACGACAAGTGAATTCGTTTTATCCGCCAACGTGGAGACGGTCAAGTCTCCGAGAACAACAGAAAGGGAGGATCTCGTGGCGTCTATAATGAGTGACGAAATGTTTCTCCAAACCGCTCGTATTCGGAAGCAAAGACTCCCACAACGAAGAGAGAAACTCAAGACACGAGTTTATCAAGTGCCTGAAGATATCTTGGAAGTAAATTCGAAAGACGACTCGGAAATAGATTCGGAAGTAAACGTAGAAGCCGAGAACGATAGCAAAATTGATTCTAATGTGAATATCTCTTCAAAAGATCGCGATAACAGGGTGAACGAAATGGACACCAAAATCGCCGATCTCGGCAAAATGCTGCAGGAACGTACCGCGGCGATTGATCTGTTAACCGGTGAGATTGCAACGAAAGTCACGGAAATGAATGACACGCGGGCACAGCTGAACTTGCTGCAGACTCAGATTAATCAGTTCCAGGAGGATAAGGAGAAGTTCGATTCGAACAAGGCGAGGGAAATCGCGGAGTTGCGAAAGAATTACGACCAGGCGGAGGAAAACTGGCGGAAGAATTACAAGGACTTGAAGAACAATTTTAACGAATGCTCGCGAAGTAAAAAGGAAGCGGAATCTAAAGTAAAATCGATTGTTCTATATTTATCGCGTTTTCACAATATAGAAAAGAATACACGTCAGTAGACTTTCAAGAGAGAACTTTTCGAATGAATTTTAACTTTATATCTTCTTATATTCGCCCTTGCGCGGAGCAGGTTCACCGATATGAAACGGAGATTCACAGAGGCTCGTTGAAAATTAACCTGCTAAGAGACAAACTCGTCTTTGCTACACGGACGTATGATGATCTACTGTCGAAAACCAAGACTGAAATTCATCGTATGAGAAGAGAATGGAGAGAGCGCGACAACAAGCACAAAATAGAGCAGAATTTGTTGAAAAACACGCTCAAGGAGACCACGCAGGCTTTAGAGGATTGCCAAATCGAGCTGCAAAAGAGCAGAAAAGAGTCGCGTGATCTGCTCAAGAGTCAAACTCTTTTAAAAACTAAGTTGGACGATGCTGAATATAAAATTCTTAGGTTGCTGATAAATAACTAATTTATTTTCATTATATTTTTCCTTGATACGCGAAAAGTGTTTGTACTAACAAACATTTAGTTTAAAAGCGATCGACATTCATTTATTAGACGAGATAAACGCGGAAATTCTTTCAACATGAAATAGTTTAATCTCAATATAAATATTTTTTGTTTTCATAAAGGTACGCGAATTTGGAAGGAAAACATAGAAAAATAGAAGAGGAGAAAAACATGTTGGAGGAGAAATTAGCTGATTCCCAAAAAATTACGTCCTCCTTACAGCGTCAGATTGAACATCTTCAGAGCGAACTGGTCGAGCCTCAAAGACGTGAAAATTTGCTCAAGGAGGAACTAGAATTAGAAAAACTAACGAACGAGAGATTAAAACGAGAACTTCATGAGGACAGCGCCAGACAGAAAGATCAAAATCTCCAAATGGAAAAGATGAATCAACAAATCATTCTATTGAACTCACAACTGAACGACATTCGAGTTACTCACGCCGAAATATTACACGAGAGGGAAAAGGAGAGAAAACAATATCAAGATATTATTTCGAGCAAGGAACGTTATATCTCCGAATCGCGGTAAGTTTGCTAATTTAGTTTTATTCTTACATAACTGTTTCATCTCCAAATAAAACAACAAAACAGTATTATCATTCTGATATATATTTTATTATCAATTTATCGATCTATTTTCAGCGCTGAGGAAGTTCAAAGAGCCGGCCAACTCTACGCGGCTTTTAATAAATACTTAAGTTCTATAGCACCGAATGCCACTTTATAATTATTCTTTAATACTGATAAATATTGTGTCTGAATAAAGACCTATTATAAATTATCTATTTTTATGACTATTAACATTCACTCTGAAATCACTCATCACTACCAGCGCCGATTACTCTTAATATATTTTCAATATGTTTTATATTTCATATATCTCACAAGTATATACTACACTAAGTAATAAATAATCGTCGCGCAATATTAACACATCATAAACAATTAATGCGTTTTCTGCATTAACATTACGGCTGGCGATCGAAAAAAAATAAGCCTCAAAACTGGACAAAATTTCAACAGATAAAATACACGCCAGAAAGAAATTTTAAAGTCTATTCTACTATTAACATAAGTCATCGCAGTGAAAACCATACTCTCGTCTCCTCACACGTTCTTAAGTAATAATAGTACAATAATAGTAGTATAGTAATAATAGGCCCCAAAACTCTCTTAGATGTATGGTAAATAGGTAAAATTCTAGGTGCGAAAAAAAAAATTTCAAATGCTTGAAAGTATTCTATCATCAAAAGAAGTAATCGCAGAGAAACCTGCATTCAACGAATTACGCGTTTTCGAGTAATAATCCTCGAAAGATTGTCGAGTGACAGACAGATGAGAATCCAGGTGTATGAAAGAAAAATTTTAAACGCATATTATTCTTCTATCAAAATAAATTATCATTGTGGAAATCACATTCCCGTAACGCGTTCTCGGGATAAGTCCTGAAAACTTGTCATGTGCCAGAAAGGTAAAGTTCCAGGTGTGCGCGAGAAAAATTTGAAACGTATGATATTATTCTCCTACCAAAATAAGTCATCGGCGTGGTAACCGCATTTTTATCCGATCACGCGTTTTCGAGTAATAAGTCTTGAAAGTCTGTCATGTGATAGAAAGGTGAGATTTCAGATGTGCGAGAGATAAAATTTTCAAACGCATCACATTACTTTTCTATCAAAATAAGTCATCACGGTGGAAACCGCATTCCCGTCAGGTAACGCGTTCTCGAGTAATAAGTTCCGAAATTTTCTCAAGTGACAGATAGGTGAGAATCTAGATGTATGTACGCGAGAATAAGTTCAAATGTATGAGTCTATTCTACTATGAAAATAAATAATCACAGTGGAAACCGTTTATGTTGTAACGACCCGTCCGAAAACGCAAAAACGAATCGCGAACACAAAGCTAACGGATCGATACGGAGATTTAATTTGCGATACACATAAGGAAATGTAAACACCGCGCCGACCGACCGCGGAAAAATAACACCGAACCACACAAGATTCGGTATATAAAAGGCGTCGCAAAAACTTCGAAAGAGAGCAGTTCTTCCGAGACACTTCGCTGACTAGAGCCAAAGCTCCGACAGCAGAAGCATCTCTCGAACAGCGCTGCGAAACCACCGCATCCTAGATCCTTCTCGATATCTTCTCCGCCAACTTGTTGGATTCGTAGAGTCGACATCTTCGATACAGCTCCGCCAATTCGTTGGATTCGTAAAGTCGTTTATCCAAAAGGCCGACATTTCCTCGAAAACGTAGTTTGCGATATTTTATACGCAATTCGCAACTCGGAGTGTATCCCCCAAGAAAGACGGGAATTTTTCGTGAAGCCTCCGTTAGATTACCGCGGTCGGGAGTGAATTACAGGTGACGTGGGACGTGAGGACCATTGCAGTATCAGATGTAGTAATAGGATGTTGGCTGGTGGATCCTGGACATCGTGGGACGATGCGCAATGGTAAACGCTCAATTTAGACGCTCATATAGTAGATACAAAGCGTCACTTTACGTAGATTGCATGCACGTAGACATAAATCGCATTGGGTCCGACGGGAAGTAAAGTAAGAATTGGAATTTGCAATTCGCCAGAGTTACGTAAGAATGATTCAACCAAAGAATTTAGCTCTGAGAATTTCGCAATAGTTCAATGAATCAAGTATTTCCATTTCTTTAAGAATACTGATTAGCTTAATCCTTAGAAAAATGTGCAAAAAGACGCGACTGGTAAAAAATAAAAAACTGTTTCTTAATTTATTTCAAGCACATATAAGAATTGAATTTTTTTGTTTGGTTTAAAAAGATGTGAATGGAGTATCCATTGATAGAAGCTTATAATTTTTTGAATTGGGTCATTCTTGCATAACAATGGTTAGTTGAAATTTCGAATCGGCAGGCTTCCTTCTCGTCGGGTTATTTCTTGATGATACATTAAATTGATATATATCAACATATATTTTTATGCTCTGTATATGTTATATATGCTTTCTTATGCTCTATATATGTTTTATATATACTCTATATATGGTCTATATATACTATTTGATTAATATACTTTATAACTTGTTATGTCGTATTATATACGACATACTATCTCCTCGGAAATATTTTCTTATGTGTACGCGTTTGTCGTTGACAAGACAACAAATTAAATTTCGACAAATTAAAGACAACAAATTAAATTATTAAGTCGAGACTTGAACCAAAATGTTTCGATTTCCCGCTAAATTATTAAGCCGAGATTCGGACTGATATGTCTTTTGTTTCTGCTACATTACTAAGCCGAGATTCGGAACCAAGTATTTTGAGGCTTCACTAATTTTTTAAGCCAAGTTAGTTAAACCTACGATAATTTTTTAAAGTTTCTTAAAGAAATTTTTATGTTTGCAAAGATATATTTTCGAAAATAACGTGCAGTGTGCATATTTCACTCTACATCGTCTCCTGAATGACAACGTGAGTGTCACTCTGCTCCCTGAGTATCGCTTCCGGAATCGTGAAAATAATTTGCCAATATCTCAAAGCTGCGCCTATAACGTTAGATCCATCGTAGCTTTACGTTCGGATACAGTGGTATCTATTCTGCGCAAGGACCGAAAGTCGGTCGTGTTACTGCAGGTTAGGTCATATAGTGTTAGCATGTAGAGCACATTCTAAGGTTATTTTTCACAGTTCTTTAAAGCAATTTTCGCGGTTGTAAGAGCTCAGTTTTGCAAAGGACGTCAAGTATTCGTATTTCGCTCTGCATTGCTTCCTGGATGACAATGTGTGTTAGTGTCACTCTCATTTTAAAGCAACTTTAATTAATTTTTTCTTCCCATTATTTTATTTATTTGTGCACTATTTTCTGACTTTAATAAACATATTTTTATTATATTTAATGATTCACATATCAAAATATATCATCCCTAAAGATTAAAAAATGTATATATTAGTTATAAAGAAATATCTCTATCACATTTTTTACATAAAATATAATAAATACTATCAATATATAATATATTGTATATAATATAATTTCAAGATAATTCTTTTCACAGATTATATCCACGGAGTTGTCACAGATTATGCGTAGCAAGTCTGTTAGCGTTCTGTTCCGTAAAATTATTGCCATAGGGAACGCGGCGACGAAGAACGGAACGATAGCGGAATCATTCTCATTGGTTGTCTTTCATCTAGTTTCTTTTCCGTTACTGTTCCGTTCCGCTACTTCTTCCATCGGGACGCACCCTTAAGGCTGGTTTATGATAGCCGTAATCCGTTAACTTATGGAATCGTAAAAAATTGACTAATCATACTCGAATTATAGAAGAATAATCGACTGTAATTGGTCAATTTTTTACGGTTCCGGTATAAATTATCAAATTACGGCCATCATAAATCGGCCTTTAGTTTCGAACATGAAGTAAGAGATAAGGAGGTCGAACTTGATCCTTCTTTCTTTCAATATATGGCTTTCGGTAATTTAATACCTCAACGTCATTTACCGATCGAACTTGATAGGGCGCGAGTAGATAAAGTGATCCTTATTCGTGTCTCCTAATTGAGAAGATATTCGCTGAAATAACTTTTGGTGGTTGAGCGCTATTTGTAAAGCAATAAGTTAGAGCGAGATAAGATACACTTGTCTCACTCTTACTGCACCAGTTCAATGGTGCAGCTCTTTAGCTGCCTTTCATCTCTATATCCCTATCTCTTTTCTTTTCCTTCCTACCTTCTTTCCTTTAATTTCTTTTCTCTATCTTTCCAAATCTTTTTTAGAATCTTACCTTTCACTTCATCTAATTCATTATTCCATATCCTTTTCTTTCCCTACTTCTCCTCTTTACCCAATTCTTCAAACCATTTTCTCCCTACCTCATTATTTGATTTGATATATAATAATATTATATATCAATATTATATATAATTTGATATATAATAATATATAATAATATTTGATTTGATATATAATAAACCCGGTCACTATTTCAGACAGAGTTTGGGTCAGAACATAAAATACTTGAATTACAGAGAGGCATATATACTGTTGACTCGAAACTAATTTGGATCGCTTTTCCGTAAACACCCTCTCACAACAGATATATTAGATAAATATTTTAAATAAATTATTATTTTACCCGAACACTTGTGCACATTTATGGTCTGTTCTTTTCAGCTGCACTACTGAACTGGTACAATAAGTTAAAGTAAGACAAGTATATCTTTTTTCACTAACTTATTGCACCAGTTTAGCAATGCTGAAAAGAACAGATCATTAGGCTTGTATAGTTCTAATCTCTGTCTTATGACGAATAAGTATATACTTAAGATTTGACAGAGAGAAAGAGAGAAAGAGATATAAAAATTGCACGAAAATATAAGAAGTATAATATGGTACAATTCGAACTATTCAGCGTTACCGTAACTGGAGTGGCAGATTCGACTGAAATCCGATTGGACACAGTACGATTGAATAGAGAATATAATGATTGGTTGGACTTAGTAATTTACCAGATAGATCTTTGCATCGATTGGTTGTGTCCAATTGTGCTATGTTCAATCGAGACTTTCCCGGCAGATTCGAGAAACTCAGTTGTTGCTATGTTCTCTTTGAAACGGGTCTCGACAAGTTCGCAATGGTCAGCTTCTCAGATTTTCTGTGAATTCAACCCGCCTGAGGTGAGTTTTACATGCGAATTATCTCCCGGGAGTGCCAAAAATAAGTTTTACGCGTTTGTGTGACGAAATATCGTCACTGAAACTATATATGTCGCGTAACGAGTAATAAGAAGTGCCGAGCAGAATCTGCGTGTTCGTTGCGTATGGCCGTTGATACTTGAAATTGTCGCGTTTTATGCTTTCGACCGACCAAAAGAATCTCACGGGAATCATCATCGGGAGTGCCGAAAATTTCGTGCTTTCAATGGCACGACATGGTAGTCGTCGTGGACATTGGATATTATGCAAAATTTCGACATTTGGGAATACCGAGCGAGATGTCGGGAGTTTGTCGCATAATGGCATTTCAAGTTGCTGCGAGTACTGGACCGTAAATTTGCATGCCAAATTATATATATTTTATTTGTAGATTCATATCAGATTGCGAGCGATTTGCTCCGAATATATAATCCTTACGATATAGAATAATTTACATTGTTTACATAAAAATGTCGGATATATATCATAAAATATATAAACAATTTATATAGATATAATCTTGAAATCTACGGTACAATCTTACTTTGTATAATCGACATTTATGTTTACACAATTGTCTACAATTGAGTCGTTAAATTATACTCGCTATATTTATCGACAGTGTCGGTATATCTCAGAGATGGCGTTAGTGTATCAAGCGCACAAGGCTCGCGGTCTTTATTAGCGTTTGCTATTGTTTCATTAGTGACAGTGCGGTTCTTCCGCAAAATAAATCGTGATATTTAACGCGAATATTGGAAGACAATGACGAAAAAAGAAGACCAATTCGATGGAATGTTGTTGGCGATGGCTCAGCAACACGAAGGTGGTGTGCAAGACGTAAGTTCCCATCTCGTGCCGGTTGAGGTTATGTCGCACGATGAGAAATGTTTTTTCATCGATCCCGCTTTTCTTTTCAGTTACTGGACACTATCTTCAGCTTCCTGGCGAGGAAAACGGACTTTTATACCGGCGGTGGCGAAGGAGCAGCTGAAAAGGTAACACGGAAAACTATACGAAAAGTGTTTTTGAGGTTACTGTTCTAGAAGCATCTAACATACCAAATTGCTTTCTTATGTGCAGCTTCTCAACAAAATATTCAAGAAATATGAAGCCTCTGCAATAGCTAAAGCTGCCTCTGACAAAGCTGAAAGAGCTGAGCAAGAGAAGCGGCGTAAGGAGAGGCTTGAGAAGAAAAAGAAGGAAGATAAGGTCGAAGAAGTAAAGCTAGACGATGACTCCAAAATAGTTGAGTTAACAGATGAACAAGCTGTTAAACTGCAAGAAGAAATAGACAGCAAGGTTAGTATGTCACAGGAAATGTGCATACAGTTGGTTAGTTGTCCATTATGTGAGTCACAACAATGTCTGAACTAATCTTTCTCTTATTTTATAGAAATTAGCAAAGGAAGCTACCACTACTGGACTTAATAATGATACAAGTAACCACAATAGCGAAGATAAGATTGATGACGATAAGAAGGCAGATGGCTCAGATGTTGAGGAAGAGGAGGATGAGAAAGAGAAGAACAAGCTGAAGCCTAACAGTGGTAATGGTGCAGACATGCCAAACTACAGATGGACACAGACTCTTGGGGAAGTAGAGGTGAGTAATTTGTACATTTATAGATCATATTCTATATGATGCAAATCAATGACTCATTGATTGACTCATCAGAGAAAAATGTTGCATTATCTGACTTTATGTGACAATTATACATTATACTTGAATAAATTTAAGAGCAGCTAAATAATATCAACTGTAATAGTAAATATCACATAATAATTAGATGTAGTTATGACATTCAAATGTGTCAATAAGTAATAAAACTGACAGAAGATACTTTTAATAATTATCTATACATGTAGTATAGAAACTTAACTTTGAAAAATCTTTTCAAAGGACAAATAGATAAATATTTTTAGATATTTTCTACTTTTTTACATATAGAGTAGTTTATCTGCTTTTGAATAAATTCAAGAGCAGATAAACATTATCAACAGTAGTAACAAATATTATATAATAATTAGGTCTAATTATGATATCGAAATATGTCAATAAGTGACAAGACTAACATGTTAAGATACTTACCGGCTTTTAATGACTACTTATACATATGATATAGAAATATAACTTTGAAAAATCTTTTTAAAGAACAAAAGATACATATTTTTAGATATTACTTTTCTACTTTTTTACATATAAATACAGAGCAGTTTACTTGCTCTTGAATTTATTCAAATAAGAAATATTACACAAATGTTAGGTATAGGTACACAAAAGTTACAATATCCAGATATGACAAAGAGATGACAAAGCTGACAGATTAAGATACTTACCGTGGTGTTACTCATTGATTTTAAGTCTATTCTTTTTTAAAGAACTTCTTGCATTGTACATTAGTGCAATAAGTTAGAGAGTGAAACAAACTATATTTATTTTACTCTAATTTATTGCATCAGTATAGTTTAGGAAGTTCTTTGAAAAGGGACAGACCTATGATAATTTCTCGCTTGTTATATAAATATATCATGTCATAAGGTTAAAATGAAACAACGTTCAGTATATTTGACAGTTTCTTGTTGAATCGACAATTAATTAATACGCAAGTAATATCACAGACGCGAAAAGCGATCGACGCGACCGCCCCTCATTGCTTTTTCATACATTTCATTCATTCCTGGAATGATATTCCGACGGAAATCCAGGCTTAATACAGACGCGATTGGTTAATGAGAATTAATTTATGAGTCCTAAATAGTTACTCGCTATCTCGGTCTCATTTCGTCGATTACTTCGAACTGTCCGTCGGTATATTCGCTGCTCATCAAAGTACGATCAGAATCGAATTTTCGCTGGACGACCAGTGATTGATGATACCTGAACGATATCCTCTAACATATTCCGCTTCCTCGGACTTCTCTTCGTTAGCTCACGGTAGTGCGCGATTTACAGCGAACGATAAATCGGTCGAGAGCTAAATAACAGAAGCGTCGTATACGTTGTGAGAATATATTTCATTTGGAGCGATCGCGAACCACATCGTGCATCACTGCCGTCCGTAACCCCGTACCGCATATATCCTCCTCTAATGCGAAATAAAACATCTCCCTACGTGGAGAGGTGTCATAACCATAGACAGAAACGGTAAACGAATTTTGAGAAAGACGCTTGTTCTTCCCGTATATACGACATGCGCTACGCGGTAAGGGGTTAATCAAAGTTAAGAAAAAAGAAAAGAAGAAGAACGTTACAATACTCGTCGAATCGTGTCTCGCGGGACGATCCGAGGAATTCTCGTTAGTTTCAGCATAAATATGCAAGGCTCCCCCGCTCGCGAGGATTTCGTTAATCCCTTTCAACGCCACTTAACACGTACGTCGCTCATTACACAAATGTAATTACTGGTTTTCACGTACCACACTTTCGTCGCGGTGCAATACAGCAATACTCTAGAACACTAATCGCCGCCGAGAATGTCGAGACCGAGAGCCGGTCTCGGCGATCTACGTAAACGCGAAAATGTACATAATACATATAAATACGAAGTAACTCGAATTAATATATCGTGACTGGGGTCGTGTGCGCGTCCTCTCCTCGTTCCCATGAAAAAACGATCCCGCCGCGCGGCGACGCTTCTTCATGTATTCCGCCACCGTCAACGGCTCTTCGCCGCCTCATCGTCGTTTCTATCACGATGATCATCATTCACGGTCACGTGTCGTCGCTTCCTCCCGTCACCCTCGGCCTAGTTGTACTTGTCACGAGCCCTCACTGCAATCAGAGGTAAACACCGGAGAGACTTGTGGATGGTGAATCCGCGGAGATCGCGCGCGCGTTTACGGTGTCGAAACCGCTACCGCGGCGAGCAGCAGCAGATGTGGCAATAGGATGGCAATTCGCGCGCTCGCGCTCGCAGCGGCTGTTGCTGCAGATACTCACTTTCCATGTAAAGGATCCCGGCTAACAGACCGACCATGAACAGAAAGCTCATGGTGCACACGAGCACAGTGAGCTGATTTCGCGCGCACCAGGACTTCCTGTAGACGGTGGTCGGTCTGCCGAGGCCGTTCACAACCGTGAAGTGGGTGCTGCTGGCCACCGACGCGGTGTCCATCTGCTTTGGTGCCGTCACCGTGGGCGGGTGTATGGCGGCGAGATTCGCCAGGTTCGCGGCTGTCAGCAGCAACGTGCCCGACGCGGCGCTCTGTAAATTGAACGATTCGATTATTTACACACTTGAACGCTCGCGAATATACGGAAAAAGCTAGGCTCATCGCTCTGACACAAATATTACTTGAAACAACCATCTCGAAAGGATGTGCGAACGAATTTGTAAATGTATAATTTTAGCACGTGGATATCTGAAATTATTCGCGAAGCGCGGACAATCTCGCCAATAAACTAGTCGTTTTCAGTGTTAACATCGGAATTTGGGGGTTTTGCATTTAGATTAACTTGAAAAGGTTGATTTTAACTTAAAATCGAGCCACTTTTGCATCACGGACGATAATGTAGCCGTGTAAGCGCGATGAGGAATTTACATGTGTACTGGCGGTAGATCCTTGGGACGATGTCGACCCTCTCGAGGGGGAGTTCGGATGCAAGTGATGAGCCCAGCTTCCATTTTCGCTGTCCCTCTCGCTGCGCCCGACCAAGGATGGCCTTGGGATGTGCCAGGAAAGCGGGCTGCTGGCCGCAGCTACCGCCGCCGTCGTCGCCACCGCCGTCGTTTCGATCTGAAACCAACGTAAATCGACGTGAAGCTTCGATTGCATAAGCGATAATGCCGTGCCGATTGCACTTCTACTCTCGCCCGCATGTCCTCCACCTGCGACCGCGTGTCGTTTATCTGTCGTCGCGAAACGTCACTCTACATACAGCTACGCGCCAGCATTGGTAAGCGTATTAAACGCGCGCCTCAAATGGGACGGTTTTTAGGCGCCGATGAAATTTAACACGCTGCGGATCGATTAATTCTACCTATCTACCTATGTACCGCTCCATGAAAAAGAGAGAAAAAGAGAGACGTGTATCGTACGAGGTCGTGCCATGCAATTTTCAATAACGATTATTATTGACTTCGCAGCACGAACATATTAGACTCGATTTCTACATTGTCTGTACGAGTAACTTCGCTTTTCCTCCCATTACCACAGGGAGGGGGGATGGTGTACGGTCAACTTTCTGTCGACTGATCACGCATATCTCACACGCGTGTTTTATCTCTCTTTAGAGATTATCATAATTGCTTTTCACTTTGGCGTATAGATCTCTTAACATACGTGCGGATATTCATATTATTTTCACTGTTACGCCAATCAGCCAGATCGAAAGAGTCGCGCTCGAGTGCCGACGTGTGAGTCCTTGTGTTCCTTTTGGCATATTAGTGGCGTTATCAGCAGAGTTTCGATCGCGAGCTCGGATAAAATTTCTTTTCGCGTGAATATCGCAACGATGCATTGGTTTCCGTCTCATCCTTTTTTTAGCGACCTTTCTCTTCGATACAGCCTGAGACGTTTTGCCCTCGGGCAGAAATAAAGTGATCAGTCAGGCGATCGATCAATTTCTCCCCCTTCTCCGCCCTCGTCTTTCTTTAGATCGCCGTTGTCTGGATCGCGATCGATCCGCGTTGCGTTGCGTTATCCCGAGAATCGATTATCTCCCCGCGTTCTTAGAGGGAACTCGCGGCCAAAACGCGCGGCGTCAAAACAGACGCGTATCGCGAAGGCATCTTCTGCTCCCACTCTTCCTTCCTCCGAGAGGAAGATTGACGAGAATTTCGGCGTCTCCCGGGGGCGTGGAGCACCTCGACATTCCGGTTTGATCGTTGCACAACGTTGTGCTCTCGAATTCCGCCGCCGCCGCCGCCGCCGCCGCCGCCACCGCCACTGCCGTCGCGTGCGCGCTCACAGTCCGCCGTTGTTTTTGCATCGTTCCCGTCCTTCGACGACGACGACGACGACGGCGAAGAAGAAATCGTCGTTCTTCTCCCGCTTCCTTTCCACGCGTTCACGCCTGCACCCGCTGGCCCAACCCGAGGAGCGCGGTGCATCCGCTGCACTTCAGGGCCGTACACGCGGCGGGCATTTCCGCGACTTTTTCGACCATAGTCCGCGCCACGCTCGCGTACGTATGCCGATTACGCCAGTTAATTGGCAATTTTCGCACGTAAATCAAGTGCATTTCGCACCGGTGTGGCCTACCTTCGCGGCCGGGCGCCGCCCAAGGACTGCCCGCCGCAGACTGGACGAGTTTGCGCGTTCTTTTTCGTCCCCGGTGTCGGTTTTTCAGACGCGCGCGTTGGTCCCGACCGGTACAGCGACTCTAATGAAACACTGTGTTTCATGCCCGCCGTACTGCTGCGCGCCGTTCAATCTCGAGCGAACAAAGGAGATTTAATTGAACCGCTTGGGCCAACAACATGCTAAGTCATACGCACACGACTCGTGTATTTATTTACAGATTCGATTATATATCCCCGTGAAAAATGCCCGCCTTGTCTTTAGGAGTGGTGCACGAACAAATTTCGGTTCAATGGTGCTTATGGGATATTAAATCTTCTTAACGATCTGTAGGGTCTCTCTGTTTATTCTCCCGTTGGCTACGTGCGACTCGAGGCGCGGTATCGACTTTAATTGTATACAGATTATTCCAATTTATCTGAATTGCTCGGCGCGCGTAATTGATCAGATCAAATTAGGCGCACCATAACACGCGACTTGTACAAATCACGGTGCAGTCGCGCGACTGATCTATCACGTTCGTGTCAATTCAACGCGCATCATTCTGATAAAAAATCGCTCCCGTTGCACCCAATTCTCGTTCTATCGGAGAAGGAAGACTTTATATTTCTCTATGGGCGCGAGGGTGTGTAGAAATTATTGCGAAGTGGTGTCAAAACGAAATGTCAAACGTAAGATTTGTATTCGGGCGTAGCCGAGGCGTCGCTAGGCATCGCGAGGCAAGAGTTTCGTGACGAAATCGCCGGGCACGTAATCACGCTAGGTGACAGGTATACCTCTTCACGAGTCGATATCTCGAAGAAAAATATCCCCCGCCGCGCGAGAGAGCGAAAGGCGGGAGAGGGCCGCGAATAGCCGGAGAATCGAGAGTCGCGAGAGTGAGATGAGGCGTCGTTAGGAATTTTTGTGGAACCCAATACACCGGTCAGCCTCGAAGCGCCGCACCTGTGCCGGGCTCGTGTAACGCGATACTCTGAAACGGATTTTGAACTCGTACCCGCGAAACTCGTTTCCAAAAGGTGTCAAATCCATTTTCTTTTTTGCGAAGAAAATTGCAGCCGTTGCCGTATGCGCTTGATGCACGTAGGAATTTATTGTCGAATTAAATTGAAATGGGAGAAAGGGAGGGGCAGGAAGACACGTGTCAACTATATTACGTTGAGAGGGAAAATATTTAAGAAGTAAAAAATATTTATTCGTTGAATCCTAACAATGTATTTATTTGAATCTAAATTCGTTTGTTTAAACAGAATAAACAATTGTCTTCATGAGAAGATAAAGAAATGTATCTTCTTATCTGGAAAATATTTTATATAAGTATGTTGTTACACGGAAAAAAAGTAAGCTGCAGCAAGAATCTGTGTGTGCTAAATCTCGTTTGTAACATATGGATATCTAAAAGTATAGCTGCAGTAGACATATAGAATTATAGACATTAGTTATGAAACTGATGTAGTGGCAACAGTTGCAAAAGTTTTGATTACAGCAGAAAATTTTTAGTTGACTTTACGGCTGCAAAACATTTTCAGCAAATCATGATTAGGCAGTAAAGTCTTTTTTCCGTATAGTATCTATCGAATAAATGTTTTTTTATTTCTTAAATATCTCTTCTCTCAGTGCATAAGACAAGTTTTGTAAAATTGTGAGGAGAATATGAATGATTTTATCATCATGATATTCACACTCGGTACTTTGTTTTTGTTTTCATGACATGCGAAAGATGAAACGTAGTAGAGACATCACGGCCGTGTTGAGCGTATTTGTTTGTTGTTGTCTGAAAAAAAGAGAACAGACCGCGAGGAGAAACGTTCCTCCTCACTGGTGGTCGACGGAAAGAGTAATATCATGCGCGCAGAGAAATTTTGCTCGGGAATGTCCTTGGTGTCTGTATGATTAAGGCACGGTATTAAGTTTGATATTGGTGCATATGTCGGACATTATGAAAATGCACGCGCAGCTTGCGATATTCTCATTAATTGCGTCGCCGACCTCTTAAAGCGACGTCTATTCCTTATTTCCGCCGTATCCCGGATAATTATGCTGTCATCGTGCGAGTTGTCGCTGCTCGAAACCCTCTCCGCGGAATAATGAGGTCTCCATTAATGCGGCCAGCGCGAATATGACAATCGATAGTACGTCACTTACGGGATTCAGAGCGAGATAGCTCGCTTTAGGGAGAAAAACGAAGAAAACGTAAGAAATTGCGACTTATTGGGACCATTAAATCGCGTCAAGCGGGAACGCGCGATTACAGGATAAATGTCAAATGCCGTAAAATCACTGACGCGGCTATTAAACGCTTAATAACAGTGGTTACCGTCAATGCCGCATATGGCACCGTCGTAATCATCGTTATTGTCCATCTCTAATGTAAACGTCCTCATTAAGTGACGGCGTGTCGGCCATCAGCGGAGACATCCTTACCGTCGCGTTCTGCGCTCGCGAAACAGTAGTGTACGTAATGAACATCCCGTCACGCTTTTTCCCTGTTCATTGACCATGAATCCATGAATAATAATACATTGACATTTCGCCGACAGGCACGCTCAAGTTCCATCTTATTTGAGATCGCTGATTTAGGCCTCGCAGTCGAGTATTACCGCAGGCGAGTCCGTGATTCTCCCTCTCGATCGTATCTCGTGTCCGTTTCCTTCCTTCTGCATTATGTAATGTAGGTCCATGTAGGAAGCCGGCAACACGAGTGAAATTTTTAATACCGCCACAGGGGTAGCGCGAGGTTGACTCATTAATCGGCGGAATTAAAAGAACGCGTGCCACGCGAAACGCTCAATAAGGAAGACGCACTCTGCTTCATGCGTCTCTCTCTCTCTCTCTCTCTCTCTCTCTCTCTCTCTCTTTTTCTGTTTCTCTTTCCCGTCGTTTCGCACCTAAGGGCACATCACCTCATTATCGATGGTCCCTGATAGTCTATTTCGTTCGTAAGCGGCGAAGGAGCGCGTCACCTCGCCGGATGAGCGAACGCTAATGAGCGTAAAAAGATATATGTTACAAGGTAGCGATAATAGACGTCGTCGGCAACCTTGTGCCATCCTGAGACGGATTATTTTACACTCGTATCGACCGTTGGCACGCGGTCGAATTGACCGGCGAATACAGTCGCGGAAGTGATCGCCCGATGAAAATCGCCGTCGGAGAACCGCCTTTTTACGACCGCAACTTTTACCGGTGCAATTATTGTCGCGAATAATCTTATTCGCACGTGCGCGCGTGCACCTTACGCGAGTCGCGTCGTAAAATCAGCCGTGCTTTCCAACACATCTGAAATAAGAGATAAATCACGCGATACGTCTGCGAACGGAGGATATATCACGGGGCGATCAATAATAAATCTCGCTTGAAACAGGATTAAGACATAGCCGATTAATATTTCATTTCTTTTTTTTTTTTTCAATAACGGCGCGTAACATCGTTTTCCAAAACGCGAGGACTTTGTCCTCGCATCGAGAACGTCGATGATATTTATCTCTGTGATG